TTTAAACCTGTCCAGGGGTGGGAGCTTCAGCACCGGCCCGGGCAGCCTGTGCTGGGGCTGGAAAATTCTTTCAGGGGGTTTTGTACAGGTGGAATTGTAAGAGCGAGGGGAAGTTGCAGAAAGTTTCTGTGAGTGTCTCATCCATTGGGGAGGTGATTTCTGCCCGGCTGGGCACGGACTGCGCCGGGGGCAGCGGTGGTGGTCTCYTTAGCATCACTTTTCGTGCTCGTTTTTCCCTCGGGGTTTTTGCGTGAAAACACGTGAGCTAAATCTGTCGTTTCCTCGGGGCTCCACAGCGAGCCCTGGGGAGTTTTCCTGTGCTGGTGGTCCCCTCTACAACTCGGTTAATTGGTAACTCGGAGATGGAGAGAGTCCTTATTAGCAACTGCCCCCCTCCGCCTCCCTCCCCTCCCGCTGGAGGCAACTCCGAGAGGCGATTGCCAGGAGGAGCTGTTTGTCAAAGGCTAATAAACAAATTCCTCGCGAACACCTGAATGAGCGAGGGCCAGGAACAACCCAATTAAAAAACGGAGCTACTGGTTGTTTTTTTGTGGCGGTGGAAACAATCCGGACTCCAAAAGGGTCTATTCAGCGGGCGCTCCGAGAGGTCTGTTTGCAGCCCGCTATTGTTGTCAGAAGCCAAATAAAAGTTCAGCTGGGGGGGGGGCGGCGGGAGGAGGGAAGTGATTAAAAAAAAAAAACATTCCCCGCTGCCTCCTGAACGCGCCGGGAGGCTCAGTTCAAAGGGATCGAGCTSTACCCAAACGACGGTGCCCGGGTTTACCCACGCACTTGAGATTTTTGTTCCTAAATGTTGCGATTTTTAATGATGTCATCAGMAGTAACCCTTTCTTCCCCGGATCCGCGGGCGGCAGGGACAGAGGGAGGCTCTGGTACAGCTGCGATCTCCACGCGGCAGGCGCTGGGGAAGCCACGGGAAGGAGTTGGAGCTCGTTTGTCGGAACTAATGATTTTGCTGTCCCCCTCGCCGGGCTGGGAGGTCGCTCCAGCCGTGCCAGCCCCGCGGCGAGGGAGGCAGCAGCCTCGCAGGCAATCTCGAGCTGTGTTTTGACGTGACAGTTAGATGGGGAATTTAAAAGAAGAATAAAAAATCTTCTAACGACCTTCAGCTGCAGAAGCAGCCTTAAATGGTCCATTTAGCAGCCACATTAGCACGCTGAAAACTTCTGGGGGAGGAGATGGATGCCAGCCTGAAACAGGGATCACGTGAACTTTTATCTTAAGCATCGCTAAAAGGCTGGATGTTTTCGGAGGATCAGCCTAGGGAGGGTTGGCAGGGTCCAAACGAAAGGGGCACCCGGCTCCCTTGTCTGGGCAAATTTCGTGGGCAGATCCTCGCTGATCTGGGTCGGGAATTGGGCTGGGCACCGAGGGGATGTTTTARTAACACCATTAGACGGGGCCGGGTTCGTCCATAGCGTTATTCTTTAAAAGCCAGCGATCCTCCCTGCCACAGTTCCAAGGCTCCCCCGAGCTCTTTCTGGAGCTGCAATTAACATATATTAATGACTGTTGCTTATTAAACTGCGCTGATTGCGCAGAAACCCCAGCCAGACCCTTCCCAATGGCCTTTTTCAAGCGCGGGGTCTCTCTCGCGTTCAAGTTGGGCTGTGCTGTAAACTCCTTATCTCGCCTCACGCTCCTTTGTCACCCAAATAAATAAATAACAATAATAAAAGGCTTCTCAGCCTCTGACAACTGTATTTACACGACCTCAAGTGTTCTCCGACCCCCTCCAGCCGCACGGGGCTTCCCTCGTGGTGAATTTAGGAAAATGGCTCCAGGCATCAGGTTTCCCSTCGCCCCGTTTATTGTGCGGGGCTGGGTCCCCTCCTGCCTTCCGGCCCTTCCCCGAGTTCCAGCAGCTCCGCAGGCTCCATCCGCGTCCCGGGGAACCGGAGGAGGCTTGAGTTGGCTGCCAAGGGGGTGGTGGGACGGGGGCTCTCAAAGCGCTCTGCAGGTAACTTTGGGGAGCAGCAGCTGCTCCGGCGGGCTCTCCTCGCCTCCTCCTGTCCCCTCGCCGCCTCTCCTGCGTGTCCAGGGCAGGGACAAGGAAGGACAGGGTGACAGCCGCCCGCAGGTGCGGGGTGGCCGCGGGGAAGGTGCTGCTGGTGGCGACCTGCGAGCGGCGCCGTGCCCGGGCGGGGGCTCAGCCGGGGAATTTCGGACCCCGGGGAAAGCCGGCTTCGGGCTCGCCTCTCAGCTCCCGAAATCGCTCCAGAAATCCCAGCCGAGAGTTTGCACACAGCCTGAACACCGAGGCGGAGGGGTTGGGGCAGAGGGTTCGGGGCAGAGGGTTCGGGGCAGAGGGTTCTTGCTCATCCCTTCCTCGGGAAATGGCAATCAGCCGGATTGTGAAGTTTTCCTCAGAACGTGTGTGGCACGGGAAGCCAAGTGAAGCGGGAGCATTACAGGGAGCTGGGAATGGTGGAAATCCACCAATCTATACTTATATTTTTATTCAGTCAGGTTCAGTTGTTCTACAAGGAGATTTCAAGGGAAATTTTGTCTTGGTTTGAAATAATATGTGAAATAATATTTAAATGCTGAATACCTTGGCCTTAAGAAGRAAAAAAAAAAAATCTTTGAGATTCAGGCATCTCAAAGGCGAATTGAAAGACAAAGAGCCAAAACTTAACGTTGTAGTATTTATTTAAACATCGACGGAAACACTGTCCARGGGGATTTCAGCACGTCCTTTAATTCTCTATACAGCCTAATTTTTCGTTGCATGCCAGCGTGTCCCGTCCCTCCAACAAACGCTTACATAAAGAAATATCAACGAATTGTCATGATGTACATCAGTCCGATTTTCTGCCACATGACAGGTCTTAAACCTTGACTGGAGCGGCCAAAATATTTTGAGGGTTTGAAATTAATTACGGCCGTCTGAGGCTTTCCCAATATATCGCAAAAGTTACAGGCGAACTACTCCCGCCTGGAASAGCCTTTCCGCTGTCACCCTGTTCCCCCGGGCTGCCAGATTTTGACTTCACTCAAGAATACACCAGCAGCAAACCAAACAAAAACTGAAGTGCCGACTGCGCCATGGCCGATCGCAAGCGGGATTCATTTCCCGCTCGACGTTGCTCAAAAAATCACTTTGTCTAAAAAGAAATCTGTACAAAACGAGTGAGACCTTAAGCTGCTAAATCCCAGCAGTGCTCAGATGCGCTCAGATCACCCCCGCTCCACGCCACGGTGCTGTTTCAGAGTCCCTCCGCTCCCGTCCGGTCCCCATTCCCGCAGGAAGCGCTGCGCGGGTTGGAGCGGGACCGGGCGCTCCTCATCACCGCYCTGCCGAACCCCCCCGGCCCGGAGCCCCCTCTCCAGCCGAGAGCCCTGCCCTGGAGGTCTCCTCCTCCCCGTACCCATTACCGTCATTACACTCKCCGTCTTGTCTTTGGGGCGACACCGGTGCCTGCCAAGCCGGTGGAGCTGGGGCGGCAGCATCCCTGCCCGCCGGGCCGCCCAGGACGGGGCGTGAGGCTCGGACACGACCCTRCCTCAAGGCTCTGACCGTCCCCTGCACCCGCATGCCCCCGGGGCAGTTTGCTCATAAATACACCGGCGATGCTGCCCACGTCCTCCGGCTCCGGGGCTCTCCCAGCGCAGCTCCGAGTGCGCTTTGCCTCCCCTTGCCCCAGAGCTCCCCGGCCCGGAGACCCGCCCGGCTCCCCCAGACCGAGCTGCAGCGGAGGCTGGGGAACGACGAGAAAGCGCAGGGATGGAACAGAACAGAACAGCCCGCCTGGCCCGGCCCCCAGCGGCACGACCGGGAGCCCGGAGAGCGCTGTGCCCGCAGGGCTTCCAGGGAGCTGCCGGCCGTGTCCGTGCAGGTGTGGTGTCCTCGGGGGAAGGAAGGGAAGGAGGGGTAAAGGGAGGGGAAGGACGGCCAGGGAAGCCGGTGATTGACAGCTCAAGTGGGCGCCGCTCCACTCACATATCCGCCGCCAAAGTTTCCTTTCACACGGAGAGAACTTTCTGTTGCCATGAAACTCGGGGGATTTGCAAGCGCCGTCCCCTCTACGCCCCCCTCCCCTCTTTTGGGGCARCCGAGTGGAAAAGCTCAAGTGGCGGCGGGGTGGGTGTAGGTGGGGATGGCCGAGAGTGCCCGGCCGGCAGGCACCCATCCGGCCCCGCTCCGCCGCCTCCCCCGCGGGGCAGCCCCTCTGCCAGCGGCACGGAGTGCCCGACGGCCGTGTCCCATCCCGGCAGGGTAACGTAGATTCTCCCYCAGGCCAGGGCTCAGGAGCGGCAGAGTTTAGTCCATCCGTCCCTTCATCCCTCCGGGGGGAGCGTCCGTGCGGCGCGGGCTCGCTCCGTGTCCAGGCAGCCTCTCCGACCTTGCACGGGGCTGTGCATCCACCCGGGAGCCCCAAACCTCTTTGTGCCCGCCGAACGCGCAGCTCCCGCTCGCCGCGCAGCGCTCCGCCCCGCTCCTCCTCCCGCAGCCCCGCAGGGCACCCCCGGCCCGCTCCGCTCCTCTCCTTCCCCCGCGCCACGGCCGCAGCTGCGGGAGCCGCCCCGGCCCCTGTGCCCGTCCGGCCGCTCGGAGCGGGGGCAGGTGCAGGGCCCGGGGGCTGCGGGACGCGGCGGGAGGGGCCCGGCACCCCCGCATGCGGCATCCCCGAGCCCCGGTCCATCCGCCCGCCCCCCGGCCGGTCAGCTCCCGGCGTGGGGCTGTCGGGAACCGCTCGCTGATTGGCCGCCGCCCCCTCATTTATAGCCCGTCAATCACGGACCCCCGGGATCCGTGTGTGCATCGCCTGGCGCTGCCCGCGGGAGCCGCTCCGCACAGCAGCAGCTCCGCCACCGCCGCCACCACCTCGGGGAGCGGCGCTTCTGCCGGGCAGAAAAACTTCCTCCTTCTTCCGCGGCAGCCGCCCAGACAGGTTTTTTTCTTTCTTGCTGGTTTTTTTTTTTGTTTTTTTTTTTTTTTTAACTTCCTCTCCCCGCTCGGTGCCCGCCTGCCCGCCGCCCTGGCGCACCTTTTGCCGGCCCCGGCCATGTACAGCATGCTGGAGACGGAGATTAAGGCGCCGCAGCCCACGCCGGGCAGCACCGGGGGCAACCCCGCTCCGGGGAGCACTGGCAAAGGCGGCGGAGGCGGCGGGACCGGCAACGGAGCGGGAGCGGGCTCGGACCAGGACCGGGTGAAGCGCCCCATGAACGCATTCATGGTGTGGTCGCGGGGGCAGCGGCGGAAGATGGCCCAGGAGAACCCCAAGATGCACAACTCGGAGATCAGCAAGCGCCTSGGMGCCGACTGGAAGCTGCTGAGCGACGCCGAGAAGCGGCCCTTCATCGACGAGGCCAAGCGGCTGCGGGCCGTGCACATGAAGGAGTATCCGGATTACAAATACCGGCCCCGGAGGAAGACCAAGACTTTGCTGAAGAAGGACAAATACTCGCTGCCGGGCAATCTGCTGGCCCCGGGGGGGGGCAACGCGGTGAGCAGCCCGGTCGGGGTGGGGCAGAGGATTGACACTTATGCCCACATGAACGGCTGGACCAACGGGGCTTACTCCCTGATGCAAGACCAGCTGGGCTACAGCCAGCACCCGGGCATGAACAGCCCGCAGCTGCAGCAGATGCACCGCTACGACATGACGGGCCTGCAGTACAGCCCCATGATGTCCACGGCCCAGACCTACATGAACGCCGCCTCCACCTACAGCATGTCCCCCGCCGCCTACGGCCAGCAGCCCTCCACGGCCATGAGCCTGGGCTCCATGGGCTCCGTGGTGAAATCCGAGCCCAGCTCGCCGCCTCCGGCCATCACTTCCCACTCGCAGAGGGCCTGCCTGGGAGACCTGCGGGATATGATCAGCATGTACCTGCCCCCCGGCGGGGATGCCACAGACCCTTCGGCCCTGCAGGGCAGCAGGTTACACAGCGTGCACCAGCACTACCAGAGTGCCGGGACTGGCGTGAATGGTACCGTACCACTAACTCACATATAAACTTGGCTGCTCCGGACGGCTCCCCGGCTTAATCCCTAACCCCACCACCGCTCCCTGACTACACCGGGACGTACGGCAGTGTTGCTCGGCTTAGCAGACTTTATACTAACTCTGGAAAATTTTTAAAGAGGAAATCCGTTAGTTGTGTCCTTTTTTTTTTTTTTTTT